CCCCCCCCCAATCCCAGAGAACAATGAATCCCCTTTTCCCACCCAGAACAATAGGGATCTCCCTCCTTCCCCCACGGAGAACAACGACCACCCCTCAAGTCCCCCCCCTCCAAAAAAAACAATCCCTCCGCGGGGCTCCGCAGCGATGCCCAATTTGGGGGTCCCAGCGGGCGGTGGCAGGTCCGGGAGGTGCCACCTGTGGGCTGAGCTGTGGGCGGCCTCAGCCCCGCGGGGATCGGGGTCCCCCCCTCGCCAAGGGAGGAGACCCACGGGGGGGGTTCCCCCCTCCCCGCGGAGCCCTAAACGCGACCGATCCCCCCGTCCCACCACCCGCCGCCGCCTCGTCGCCCCCCCTGCGGCCCGAGCCGGGGGGGGAGGCGAGATCCCGCTCCCCGCAGCAGGAAGTTTGGCTTCCTCCCTATGATGGGAATTTCTCAAGGCGATGGATGTTCTTTCGCCCCGACGCGCAAACGGGACCCGCCAAGAAAAAGCCACCGCGGCTCCCGCGTCCCCTCCCCGGCGACACCGCGGGCGGACCCCCCGACCCGCCCGCGTCTCCTCAAGGGGGGGAGTCTTAAGAGCGTTAATTGGGGCACGAATTGCCGGAGCGACGGAGGCTGGGGAGGAAAATCGCTCCAAAAATCCCCTTCAGGGGCCGTTAACGCCAGCGGCCGAATCCCGGTGGGTTTCCAGCGGGAGCGGTGCCCACCCCAGTGCCCACCCCGCTGCCTGGAGGGTTTAATTCCACCGGGAACAAGGCGAGGCCGCGGACAGCCCCTCGTTAGGGGTGACCCCGCACCTTTATCCTCCCGGTCGGGGGCAGCCGGTGCCTGATTCGCCTCCCCCGGATCCCCCGTTCCCCCCCTCCCCACGGGGGTCCGGGGCAGCGCTCGCCCCGCGGCCCCTCGACGTGCAGCGCTGGGGAAGGCGAAGCCAAATGTCCTTTTAGAGAGTGAAAGTTTCCCCTCGGTGCAGCTCGGCCGCGCTGGAATGCCTGGGCTTTTTATAAATCCCTCCTCGAGCCCAGGGATGGGCACGAGAAATGCCAGTCGGAGATGAGAAAGGAGGGGGGGGGGAAAGAGTGAAAAACGGGGTGGAAAAGAGGGATAGAGCATTTCTGTGTGTTGTGTCTGCCCGCAAACCTCGTTGCTCGGGCTTTAGAAGAGCTCTAAAGATATATATATATATTTAAATTTATTTTTCCTGTGGAATTCAGAGCTTCCCAAATTCCCTTTTGTTCTTCGAGGCAATTATTCCTCTTTTTCTTTAGACCCCTGCAGAGCTCCATAAATCTTTTTTAACTGCGTGATCTCCGACACTTATCGGAGAGGATTGGGTTGGGTTTTTTTTTTTCCCCTTTTCTTTCCCCAACTCCTTAAAAAAACCCTCCGATATGAAACTGAAATGAAATCCGGCCCTTCGGAAGAAAAGCATAAACGTTCCCGACACCTTGGAAATGTGGTTTTACTTTATAGCATTACTTAGCACCTGATCAGCAATTTTTTTTTGCAATAGAGAAGCCATAAAACCCCCCAAGCAGGTATTTTCCTTGCAACTTGCACATTCCACAGGCTGCCTGTGTCTCTCCGGCCCTTTCCCCTCCGATCGGAAAACTTCACACTTTTCCCTTTTAAAACACATGTTCGGCTCCGTGGCTGCGCTGAGCAGGGGAGGGGGGGGGAAAAGCCAGGGGAAAAGAAAATAAATATATATTTATATATAATTGGCCCCTCCAGAGGCTCCTGCTTGAAGGAGGGGGGAAAAAAAGAAAAATTCCAGGGGAAAAAAAAATAGAGAGAGAAAATTGGCCCCTCCAGAGGGTCCCGCTCGGAGGACGGGAAACGTGTCTGGTTTTCGGTGCTCGTGTGTGTTTCTGGGGCTGTTTAGATTAAGATTTGGGAGAATTAGGGCTTGGAGTGCCGGATCTGTTACGGGCAGAGCCGGAGCAGCTCCGGGCTCGGCTGGTGGAGGAGTTGGAGCAGGATGGGCTCATTGGCAGAGCCGGGGGATGAGTTTTTTGGAGGCCTCGCTGGCCTTGGGAAGGGTTTGTTTTGGGGGGGTGGATCCGTATCACCCGTGGATGCTCGGGGTGTTCCGACCAACCCATGGGCACTCAGGGTACCCCAAGGTACTCAGCACCATCCCATGGATGCTTGGGGTACCTGGCACCACTCCATGGATGTTTGGGGTGCCTGTACCAATCCATGGGTACTCAGAGCACTTTGGAGTACCTGGCACTGCCCTGTGGATGTTTGGGTTACCCCAGGGCATCCGTCACCAACCCACGGATGTTTGGGGTACCCCGGGGTACCCCGAAGTGTCCAGCACCAATCCACGGATGTCTGGGGCACCCCAGGGTATCCAGCACCAACCCAGGGATGATTGGGGTACCCCACACCACCATCTCCCAGATGCTTTTCCCCCTGGATTCCCTTCCTCCCACCTCACCAGCCTCCCCCAAGCAGAGCAGGGACCCCTAATTATCTCGGGAATAACGAGGCTCTTGGAGCGCTAATTGTGCCGGGTGGGAGCCGGAAGAAGCCCCAGGGACCTCTCATTAGGATCCCTCCGGCACAACAAGGACCTTGGAATGCCGGGTGGGAGCCGCAGGAAGGGGCAAGGATCCCTCATTAGGATCCCTCCGGCACAACAAGGACCTTGGAATGCCAGGTGGGAGCCGGAAGAAGCCCCAGGGACCCCTCATTAGGATCCCTCCGGCACAACAAGGACCTTGGAATGCCGGGTGGGAGCCGCAGGAAGGGGCAAGGATCCCTCATTAGGATCCCTCCGGCACGACAAGGACCTTGGAATGCCGGGTGGGAGCCGGGGCGGGCGGCGGGCGCTGAAAGCCGATCGGGGGCCGGGAGGTCGGAGGGGAGGGGAGGTCGCGGCACTTTCCGGGAGGTAATTTGGGGAATATTAGCCCGGCGCGTGCGGATGGAGCCGATAAGGCTGACGGACACGGAACACCCCGGAGCGCGGCCGGGGGAGCCTTTGGAAGCCTCGTGGTGGAGCAGTTTTGGGATAAACCGGGGGGGGGGGGGGGTCCCATGGCGAAGGGATTTGCTTGGGATGAGTGGGATGAAGCAACTTCCCGGCCCTCGCTGGTGTGATCCAGGCGGGAATGCCGGCCCTGGGGAAAGGAGGAGGGAGGGGAAGAAAAAAAAATCCCTTAGATTTTCCATAGTTGCTTTTGAAATCTTTTTGTCCCGACAAACTTCCAAAGCCACAACCCAGCCCTGGGGGAAAAAAAAAAGGGCTTAAAATAGGCATAAAAAGTACTTGGAAAGGCATAAAATAGATATTAAAATAGATATTAAAAGTATTTAGGCAGATAAGAAATGTATTTAGGTATCAGAGTAGATATAGAGGGTATTTAAATAGATAAAAATAGATGTGTATTTAGATATAGACTAGATGTGTGTTTAGATATAGAATAGAGATAAAACCTATTTAAATATATATAAAAGAGATATCAAAGCTTTCAGATATAAAATGGATATAAAATGCACATAGACAAAGGACAGATATAAAATGTATTTAAATCAATATAAAACAGATATTAATTTGGAACCTTCGATACAAATGTAACAAAAATAAACGTCATTAAATCAATGTAAAATGGATATAAATGTATTTAAATTGATGTGAAATAGAGATGCCATGATTTAAATCAATACAAAATAGATATGTGATGATTTAAATTGATCTGAAATAGACATGTGATGATTCAAATTGATCCAAGATAGATACACAATGGTTTAAATTGACCTAAGATAGATATGCAATGGTTTAAATTGACCTAAGATAGACATGCAATGGTTTAAATTGACCTAAGATAGACATGCAATGGTTTAAATTGACCTAAGATAGATATGTGATAGTTTAAATCTATATAAAACAGATATGATGATCTAGGTAAATGTAAAATAGATAAACAATGCATTTAAATAGATAAACAGTATATTTAAATAGATAAACAGTGCATTTAAATAGATAAACAGTGTATTTAAGTGGGTATGAAATGCATTTAAATAGGTATAAAATGCATTTAAATAGGTATAAAATGCATTTACATAGGTACAAAACGCATTTAAATGAATACAGAAGACACGCAGATGTACTTGAATTATCTAAAACAGATAACAAACGTCCTTAAGTTATCTAAAACAGACACAAAAGGCATTCAAAAAGCCATATTTACCTACACAGCCCCTCCATAATTGACATTTCCCCCTCCCACTCTCTGTCTCTCCGGCTGCAGACCCCGCCGTGATTTCCCCCCAAGACCCCACCCTGCTGATCGGCTCCTCGCTGGTCGCCACGTGCACGGTCAGCCCGGACTTTCCGCTGAAAGCCGAGGACCTGTACTGGACCCTGAACGGGCGGCGCCTTCCCGCCGCCTCCTACGCCGCCCTCGGGCCCTCCACGCTCAGCGTGGCCCTCGCCCGCCTCAACGGCTCCAGGCAGCAGTCGGGGGACAACCTGGTGTGTCACAGCAGAGACGGCGGCATCTTGGCCGGCTCCTGCCTTTACGTTGGACGTACGTCGTCGGCGCGGTCGCGTCCCCCCCCCGGATCCCCTTGCAGGGTCGAGGGGGCTCCCCAGGACGCCCCTCTTGGTTCTTGCCAAAGCTGCTCCGCTCGGAGCTCCCCGCGCCGGGAGAGAGGGCTGTTTTTGGCAAAAAAAACCCCCGCGCTTGTCCGAATCAATATTCGTAAGATTTTTATCTCCGGGGCTATTTTTAAAATAAAGGGCGACGCTCGCGCCCCGGGAATACAGAATCGGAACAGGGAATGCGGCTCTCGGATTTGTTTTTTTGGGTCGCTACGTTCCCCGGGAAATACAGAGGCTTAGATGGGAATGCGGCTCGGATTTGTTTTTTTTGGGGCTCTGGAACTTCTTGTTTTTGTTCTTTTTTGGTCTCCCAGTACCCCCGGAAAAACCGGTCAACATCACTTGCTGGTCCAAAAACATGAAGGACCTGACCTGCAAGTGGGCGCCGGGGACAGAAGGAGAGACCTTCTTGCACACCAACTACACCCTCAAGTACAAGCTCAGGTGGGTGTTCACCTTAATTCCGGTTATTGTTAAAAACGCCGGTGTGGGATTTAATGGGAAACAGGGAATGTGGTGCCCGAGGCCTCCTTGGCTGGCCCCTCTTTGGGGGTGGTGCTGGCATGAGGAGTTTTTTGGGTCTCATGGTGCTGGGGAGGAGGAGGAGGAGGGTGAGAAGCCGCCGTGGCCCTGGTTGAGTTGGCACCGCTGGGTGAGCCATAGGGGTGGTAACACAATTCCAGTAGATAAATGGGCCGTGGGAGCGGCTCCTCCGGGGATGGGTGAGCACCCACAGCTCCCGGCGGTGCCGGTGCTCACGCCCTGCCCGCAGGTGGTACGGCCGGGACAACACCTGCCAGGAATATCACACGGCCGGGCCCTACTCCTGCCGCATCCCCAAGGACCTGGCCCTCTTCACGCCCTACGAGATCTGGGTGGAGGCGTCCAACCGGCTGGGGGTGGCCGTGTCCGACGTCGTCATGTTGGACATCCTCAACGTGGGTGAGCGATGTCACCGGTGACCCCACGGGAGGGAGCGGGAGGGTGGAGCGGGAGGGTGGAGGTTTCAGCCCCGGGATGGGACGGAAGGGGGGGGGGGGGCAGCAGGAAATGGGCGATATGTGAGCAGAATTGCTCCTAATCGAATTAGGCTGTTTGCTCCGAGTGGGTTTTACATCTGCGGCTCCTTAACCCTCGCGGCCCCGCGGCGCTGCCCTGTCCCCGCAGTCACCACCGACCCGCCGTCGGACGTGCACGTCAGCCGCGTGGGGGACCTGGAGGACCAGCTGAGCGTGCGCTGGAGCTCCCCGCCGGCCCTCAAGGATTTCCTCTTCCAAGCCAAGTACCAGATCCAGTACCGGGTGGAGGACAGCTCGGAGTGGAAGGTGGGTCGGTGTCGCCGGTGCCGGCGCGGGACCGCCGACCCCGCGCGTGGGTGCTCCCATCTCCTCCCTCCCCAGGTGGTGGATGACGTGGGCAACCAGACGTCCTGCCGCCTGGCCGGCCTGCGCCCCGGCACCGTCTACTTCGTCCAGGTGCGCTGTAATCCCTTCGGCATCTATGGCTCCAAGAAAGCCGGGATCTGGAGCGACTGGAGCAATCCCACCGCCGCCTCCACCCCACGCAGCGGTGAGTGCCGCCAGCGCCGCTCTGGGGGGGTGCCGATGGTGCTGTGCTCCCCTCCCTGGGATGTGCAGGGGGGCCCTTCCCCGCTCCGTGCCCAGCACCTGGATTTCTTGCAAGGGAGCCAATTTGGAGCGTGGCTTCCCTAGCCGGGAGCCAAAACCAGCTCGGTTTGCTCTCACCCGAGGGGGAGGTTGAGGCACATCCCTGACCCCCTTGACCCCACACTGACCCCCTTGTCCCCGCAGAGCGAGGGGCGGGGGGCTGCGACCCCAAAGGCGGGGAGCAAAACACGACGCTGCGGCGGGAGCTGAAGCAGTTCTTCGGGTGGGTGAAGAAACACGCCTACGGCTGCTCCAACCTCGGCATCAAGCTCTACGACCAGTGGCGCGTGTGGCTGCAGAAATCGCACAAAACACGCAACCAGGTAGGTAAGGAGCCTTTTCTCGCACTTCTTCTCCCCGGCTGGGCGGGGACGGGGGGTTGGGACGTGGGGTGACCCCCATCCCCACCCCAGGGATGCTGGGGGGTGACGCCGACCCCGGGGCGACGCGGGGCTCTGCTCCTCTCCGCAGGTTCTTCCCGGCGATAAGTTGTAGCCCGCGGGGGACCGAGCGCCGGCAGGATGGGACGGGGCGCCCGGCGCCCACCCGGGACCACCCGCGCCCGCCCCGGCCCCGCCGTGGGGGAGCAGGGAGGCGGCTGGGGCGCAGCACAGCCCTGCAGCCCTGGGGGCCGGGCTGGGGTGAGGTTAGGGGGCCGGGCTGGCCCAGCCCCGGGAGCCCCTCACGTGCTGCTGGCCCTGGATTGCGGCCCCTTGTGCCCCGCGGCAGCGAGGGCACCCCCCAGCCTTGCCCGGCCAGGGGGGACATGGGGACTTTGCTCCTCAACCGCCAGCCGGGGCAGCCTCTGGGATGAAAGGGGCAGTGGGGGCTTCCCGGGTGACCCCCAGCCTCGCCGCAGTGCCCTCCCCGGGGAAGCGATTTTGGCTGTTTTGTCCCCGGGGATCCGCGTGCGGGTGCACGGGGAGGGCTCCGTCCTCGGGGAGCCGCGCGGGCTGATTGGAGGCTGCTGGGGTTTGCCCAGTGCCTGCTCCAATTTTGATTCAAACCAGCCTTATTTTGGTTCCATTTCAGTCAATTAGGAACAGATTTAAGCTTAATGCCAATAAACCTCTGAAACCCCACCGGGGTCTGCGTCAGCGGAGCGGCAGCGCTGCGCGGGGACGGGGATGCAGCGGGCAGCCAAATGGGGCCCGTGGCCCTTGTCACCCCATCCCAGGGTTCCCAGGGGACCGAGCCGAGCTGGAAGGGGTGGCACTGGGGCAGGGGGGGGCCATATGACCCCTTCAGATCACACCACTCAGCCCAGCTCCACGGGGACAGGTTTATTTTGGATGACCACAGAAAAGGCGCTTGTGGAGCACCGAAACCGCCGTGGGGTTGGGGGAACAGCTGATCCCCAGGATGTGGTTTGGGGGACGGGGGCTGCTGCTCGTGGGCCTCCAGCGGGCAGCACGGGCAGTGCCCACCTCGATGGGAGTCAAAGCAAGGCAGCCCGTTGGCACTGCAGGTCGTGGTTTTTCTTTGGCACAGCCCCGTGGAGGGGAACCAGACCCCTCTGCTGAGGGATACTCAGGATTTAGGGGCACCCCACTTCTCCCAGGAGGGGGGTTCTCTACCCCTTCCAGCCCGTGCTCAAGAAAAGGGGTGGAGAGGACGATGCCCACCTTGCCAAGGTGCCTGGGCGGCTGCACCGGGAGCGGGTGGGGGGCGAGCGGGGCCCCCGTTCCACCAGCCGGCCCCTCCAGCCGTTCCCACGGGGACACCCATCACTCAACTTCTTCCGAATCGTACTTGAGGTCCTGGAGAATTTCGCTGATTGCCTCAATGGTTTTAATTAGCCTACGAGAGCGGATGGAAACTATAAATAAAGCCCATATGGAGCGTATTATGTGGGCCGCCCTCGCCTTCCCCGCGCTGTTTATGAAACACTCAGCCCGGGGAGGCCGAGGGGACGCGGCCACGCAGCACCGCCAGACCCCGAAGGCACCATCTGGGCCCCCCTGGGCCACGGGGAGGGAGGGGAAACGCAGGGAAGGGGCTCCTGGGCTGGACTCCACGATCCGTGCGGGTCCCTTCCAACTCAGGACATCGCGTGATTCTGTGGGCTTGGGGGGACGTTGCCACCCCGAAGAGGGGGGGGAAGGGGGATGGCAGCAGGGATCCTGGGCTGAGGGGAGCTGCTGCCACCCCAAAATGAACGGGGAGAGCAGCGGGGTCACCACCTACTTGTGCTTGAGCTCCTGCACCTCCTGCTGATGGACGTCCACCTCGGGCTGGTCCTGTGCCCGCTGCCGGGCCAGCTGGAGCTGCGCCGTCTGCGGGAGGGACACCATGAGAGCCCAGAGACACCCCCCAAACGAGCCCCAGGGACCCCCCCCAGCCCGGCACCCACCAGCTGCAGCTTCTCCTGCTCCCGTTCCTGGAGCCGGGCCAGGTGCTGGGCCAGGTCAGGGCGGCCCAGCTCGTCCCGCAGGCGCCCGGCGATGCCCAGCACCTCCCGGGAGATGCCGCTGAAGGCCACGGTGACCTCGTGCACCAGCTGCCGGTACCGCGGGAAGTCATAGTGGGGGGCACTGCTCAGGTACGCCTGGTGGCCCCTGCGGACAGGGGAGGGGGTGGGAAGCCACCGTCACCACACCCGGGGGCCACCGGGATGGCAACACCCCGAGATCCTCGTTCTGCCAAAGCTCCTTTTGCCACCCGCCACGGGCAGCACCAGGAGGGTTCTCCTGCCTTCCTTCTCCTCCTGCCTGGATTTGGCAGCTCCCCATGACCAGGCGGCCTCACCCCTCACATGGGAAAAGCTTGGAAACTGCTTTTTTTTTTTTGGAGGGAGCGTTGTTTTTTTTTTATCCTTCTCACTCGTGAAGCCCATCATCTCCTGCTGGATGCTAAAACAGGATTCAGGTGTCCAGCACGGCGTCCTGCTGCCAGCTGGAGCTCATCAGCCGCCCCGAGCGCCGGGTCCCAGAGGGAGGCAAAATAATCAGGATGGGGGGATTTGGTTCCTTTTGCCGGGGATTCAGTGCCTTGCTGGGGATGCCCTGCCCCGGGAGGTGCCCCGTGTGCCCCCCGCTCATCCCCGGTGGTGCCGGTACTCACTCCTCGAAGAGCCGGTAGGTTTCCACCCTCTCGCCCTGGAGCACCTGCAGCCGCTGCAGCAGAGCCTGCACGGCCTCGCCCGTCTGCGGGACACAAGGGCACGGTGGCAGCTGGGGACACCACGGCACCGGTGACCCGGTAACGGGCTCTGGGCAGAGCCAGCATTGCCCGGGGGTCTCACCCCTGTGCTGGGGTAAGACCCTCCCACTGCCCAGTGCCCGTCCTGGGGGGGACCCAGGTGGATTCCGGCCGCGGTTCTTGAGCTCAGTCCAGCACCAGCACCGGGAGCCCCCCATCCCACTGCTCACACACCGGGAATCCCCAGCCTTGAGCACACAACACAAACGGGCATCGGGAACCCCCGTCACCACCCTGCCCACGCACCAGGACCCCCCAGACACGTGCCCGGAATACAACCGGGCACCGGGACCCCCATTCCACTCGTCCAGGGACCCCCCCACCTTGCTGCCTGTGCACCAGGAGCCCCCCTTCTACCTATGCCCGGTCTGGCACCGAGATCCCCTCCATCGCTGCACTCACGCACTGGGACCACCCCATCCCGGACCGGCTCCGGGACCCCCCATCCCGGTGCCCACGCACCGGGAGCCCCCCGGCTGCGCGCACACATCACAGGCGGGCACCGGGACCGCCCCGTCCACTCGTGCACGGACCGGACCGGCACCAAGACCCCCCCACCCCGCTGCCCACGCACCGGGACCCCCACCAATGTGCGCACAACGTCGGAGGGGCACCGGGACCCCCCATCCCGCTCCCCGCGCACCGGGAGCGCCCCGCCCGTTCCCAAACAACGCAGACGGGCACCGGGACCCCCCGCCCACAGCCCGGCCCCATCCCGTGACTCCCCCCGACCACACATTCACTGCTCGGCCCCCAGAGCCCCCCTCGCCCCCTCCCCGTGCCCCGGGGGCCGTTCCCCGCCCGCTCCCGGTGCCGCTCACCATGGCCCGGTGGCGACCGCACGGCGCAGGCCCGGGGCCCGCGGGGCGGAGCGCGGCTCCGCCGCCACCTGCAGGCACCGGCCGGCAGCGCCCGTGCCCTCCCCGCTCCCTCCCCGGTGCCCGCTGCCCCCTCCCCGGTGCCCGGTGCCCGGTCCGGTCCGTGCGCACGCCGCCGGCGGGGGTCCCGGTGCCCGTCTGTGTCGTGTGCGGGGGGTTCCCGGTGGGTGGGAAGGGGGTTCTAGTGGGGTCCCGGTGCAGCCGGTGGACGGGGTGGTCCCGGTGCTCGTCTGTGCGCTGTGCACACGGCCAGGGTTCCCGGCGGGCGGGCAAAGGTGTGTGGTGGGGTCCCGGTGCCCACCTGTCTGGTGTGTGCATGGCTGGGGGTCCCAGTGCCGGTCTGGGTGGTCTGGGTACACGTGGCCCGGGGGCTCCTGGTGTGTGGCCGGTGGAGTGGGGAGGGCCTGGGACCGAGCTGGACACGGGGACCAGGGACAGGGGTGGGTCCCAGTGCCCACCTCTGTTGTGTGCACATGGTGGGGGAGCCTGGTGGGCAGGCAGCATGGTTTTTTTGGGGTCCCCGGTGCCAGTCTGGACCCTGCACTAGTGACCAGGGTGTCCCAGTCTGTGACTGCAGGCACTGACTGGCACCACCTCCATCCCTCCCTGCTCCCCTCCCTCTCCTTTATTCCAAACCACACAATTTTGGGTAAAAAAAACACCAGAAAACAGGGCTGAGCACTGCAACACTTTATTGGCCAGCACAGGCAGGGCCGGTGGCTCTACTTGACCTTCTTCTTGGGGCGCAGGTTGTTGGTGTGCCCACACTTCTTCTTGCGGCAGTTGACGGCGCGGGGGTGCAGGCGGGCGTAGCACCTGGGGAGGGGGGACACAGGTCAGGACAGCCCTGGGGAGGGGGACAGGGAGTGGAGAGGGGGCTGTGGGAAGGGGAGGGGGACACAGGGGGACGTACTTGCGGCAGATCATCTTGTCGCAGTTGTACTTCTGGGCGAGCTGGCGCAGGGAGGGCTCGATGATTCCGCCCCGCAGGCGCAGCACCAGGTGAAGGGTGGACTCTGGAAGGAGAGGTCGGTGTCATGGCGGGGTCAGGGAGCACCTGGCACCCCCCCAAAAACATCCTCCCCCCCCCTCCAAAAACCTCCCAAGGGTCCAGGGAGCACCTTTCTGGATGTTGTAGTCGGCGAGGGTGCGGCCGTCCTCCAGCTGCTTCCCCGCGAAGATCAGACGCTGCTGGTCGGGGGGGATCCCTGTGGGGGAGAATCACCGTGGTGGGGGCACCAGGGGACCCCCACGGGGCTGCCCCGCCGCTCCCTGGCCCTGCCAGTACCTTCCTTGTCCTGGATTTTGGCTTTCACGTTCTCGATGGTGTCATTGGGCTCCACCTCAAGGGTGATGGTTTTGCCCGTCAGGGTCTTCACGAAGATCTGCATCTTGGCACCGTTTTTGTCTGCGGGAGCGGCGGCTGCGTCACCCCCTGGGTGGGCCCGGGGGTCCCGGTGTCCCCGTGCCCACCCCCAGCAAGGACCGACCACTCAAAGCATAATTCCCAGTCCCTGAACCCCCATTCCCGAGCTCCCGGTCCCCTACCCCGGGATCCAGCCCCTATCCCGGCATCCAGTTCCCCCCTCGCGGAATCCGGGGCCCATCCCGCGATCCAGCCCCATCCCGGGATCCAGGGTCCCTTCCCCGGGATCCAACCCCATCCCGGGATCCAGTCCCCCTCCTCTGGGGCCCGGTTCCCCTCTCCCCGGATCCAGTCCCCTCCCCGGGCTCTAATATCCCCAAATCCCGGGATCCCGTCCCTTCCCCGACATCCAGCCCGCCCCTCCCGGGATCCGGGGAGCACCTCAGGATTTGGGACCTATCCTGGGATCCAGTCCGCCCCTCCCGGGCCCCACCCCGGCATCCCGTTCCCCCCTCCCGGGCCCCGAGCCCCACCCCGGCATCCCGTTCCCCCCTCCCGGGCCCCGGGGCCCATCCAGTGATCCCGTTCCCCCCTCCCGGGCCCCGGGGCCCATCCCGGGATCCCCCTCCCCACGCCAGGCCCCGCCGCCCCGCGCGCACCCGCGGCCTCGCTGCAGAGGGAAAAGGGAGGCGGGACCGGAACCCGCCTGTGCGTCACTTCCGGCTGTGACACCGGGACTGCTCCGTCACTTCCGGCGGTGACACCGGGTGACACCGGGACCGCCCCCGGCCACCGGAACCGCCCCGTCACTGCCGGGGTGAGACCGGGACTGCCTGTCCCGATACCGCCGGTCCCACGGGGCCCCGGGACCAGCCCCACGGACCCTGGACCGGCCTCATACCGACCCCACGACCACAGCCTCGGACCGGCCTCAAACCAGCCCGGGATCGGGCTGACACCGACCACGAGGCCCTGGGACTGACCCCGTGGACCCCAGGCTGGCCCCACACTGACCCCGTGGCCACGGGGCCCATCCCAAGGCCTGCCCCAAACCTGTGACCCCACAGCCACAGGACTGGCCCCAAACCAGCCCCACGGCGCCAGGACCATGGCCACACTGACCCCATGGACCTCAGCCTGGCCCCAAACCGGCCCCGTGGCCATGGGACCAGCCCCAACCTGACCCCGGGATAGACCCCGCGGCCAAAGGATCAGCGCCACACTGACCCTACAGCCCCAGGAGCAGCCCCAAACCCGAGGGCTTCAGCCCCCCACTCTCCCCTCAGCCCCTCACAGGCCATGAAGATCCCAGGCCCAAGCTCCACCACACCAAGACGCTGGTGGAAATGAAGAAGGACCTGGACAACATCTTCCTGGCAGGGAACAGGTGCGGGTCTGCCCGTGTGGTGCCCAGCAGCACCACATGAGGGGCTGAGCTGTGAGAGCCAAAGGGAAACCCCGCTCTGGCTCTTCCCACAGGTGTGAAACACAGCACGAGTCCATCAGCAGCACCGACAGACCCCTGGGAAAGCTGGAGCGATGGTGGGAACACATTCCTTAAGAAAAAAAAACCAACCAGCTGTGCCCCAAAACGGCTTTTTCTGCACCAAAAACTATGTGGCTGGAGGGGTTTGGCCGCTCTCCTGAGCGCAGAAACGAGGAAGGACAAGAGGCGTTTCCAACCCAGGATTTACTGATTCCCCCTGAAGCGAGTGGTGGGTTTACACCTCAGTGGCAGTTTTAGAGGAGGAAGGGCAGCACCTTCCTCCTCCCTCGGCTTCTCTCCCAGCCTTCGCTTCCCTCTCCCAAAAAAAAAAAAAAAAAAAAGGGAAAAAAAAAAAAGCAACACACAAATATAAATACAGGATAGAAAGTTCTCTGGGGGCAGGACCCGACTCTCCTAGTCCAGGCCGTTGGCCGTGTCCTCGTCTGTGAGACTCTGTCCGTTCACGGCCGGCACGTCGTACTGGCCTTGGGATAAATCCTCAAAATCCTGGCTCGTGGTGGGAGAGATGACATCAGGGCTGGTGTCACAGGACTCCGTGCTCTGCTCAGAGGTAGCGATGGTGGTTGTGGTGCTTTTGGGGACGGGGTCGAAATCGTCGTCGTCTTCCAGGATGGGAGATTCGTGGATGTCTGGAAGGGAAGAGGCAGATGTCAGTTCTCTGACACCGGTGGCAAGAGATACCCCAGGAGAGCAATTCCCTAATTCTGCACGTGGTAGGAATCAATCAAAAACACACCAGCACGTAAATTAGTAACTTCTTGCAACAGCATTTAATAGAACCAAGGAGTTTTCCAGACTTTTAGAGCGGCAGCCACGGGCCAGCACATGCCTGGGATGTGTCATTGGCTTCTCCTCATTCCCAAGAGACACCTCATGTGTTCTTTGGAATAGGGAGGAAAACTGAGCACAGAGCACCAGGACAAGGAGGAATGGCTTCCCACTGCCAGAGAGCAGGGTTAGATGGGACATTGGGAAAGAATTCCACCCTGTGACGGTGGGGAGGCCCTGGCACAGGTTGCCCAGAGAAGCTGTGGCTGCCCCTGGATCCCTGGAAGTGTCCAAGGCAAGGTTAGAACAACCTGGGCTAGTGGAAGGTGGCACTGGATGGGCTTTAAGGTCCCTCCCAACCCAAACCATTCCATGATTCTATGAATCCACACATCAGGAATCACTCACTGCTGAAAGCCTCGGGGTACTGCTTCGCCAGCTTCCCTTTGAGTGTCCTGGGGAGGAGAGATTGAGCTGAGTCCATGGGGAGCTGAGGGATCCGGGGCTGAGCTGCCCCACCAGCTCCCTCCACTCTCCAGCATTTATGGACAATCCCAGGGGGTTCCTCAGGGGTCCCTCCCCACCCTCCCGGATCATCCCCATCCTCCACACGGGGTGTTTCTGAGCGGTTTTGTGACCACCCCAGGGAGCACAGACCATCCTGGCTAGACCAGAATCATGGAATCCCAAAGCTCCAGCCTCTGCAGCTCCTCTCTACGTGTTTTCCCCTCTCCAACAAATTTCACTGACAATATCCCCCCAAACTCCGACTCGTGCCCTGCTTTAACACCCCACACCACCCCCCGCCCCGCCGTGCTGTGTCCCTGCCCCCTCCCACCCCGTTTCCCACCGGATCCTTCGGAAGATGCTGTCCAGGTCCTTCTTCATCTCCACCAGGGTCCTGGTGTGGTGCAGGAACCGCTCGTTCATCTGCTGCATCCTCACACTCGACAGGTTGTTGAAGTTGAGCAGCATCTCGTTGGTCTTCTCGAACCGATCCAACCTGCAGGGGGGGTGGGGAGGGGAAGCACACGGAGCTCGGCAAAGACCCCCCAAACCCTCTCCCGGGGGAGGCTCCCGATGCCGGGGCTCCCCCGGGCCGGTTCCCCCCGCCGGGCACTCACATGTTTTTCTGGGCCAGGATGATGGCATTCACGTCCTCGGCGTTCACCATGCCCAGCACCCGCCCGCAGAACACCTGCGAGGCCGTGGGCTCCATCGTGGCCTGCGGGATCGCGAGGGGCAGCTCAGCCGGGGGGGGGAACGGGAGACCCCCCGCGACCCCCCGGTAACGGAGACACACCCCCCATCCCCTCCACATCCGCGATACCGGGGCCCCCTCCGCCCCGCCACGCAACCAGCACCGGAGTTACCGCCCTGCCCGCTCCCGGGGCGGCGCTGCACGCCGGTACCGGGAGTTACCGGGGGGTACCGGGGGGTCCCCGCCCGCCCACCGCCCCCCCGTGCCCGGTAGCGCCGCCGCTCCCGCGGCTGCCCCGGGGACACGCGGGGCTGAGCCCCTCCCGGAGCCCACCCCGCGCACCTGGGGGGGCCCGACCCGCCGCTCTCACATGACGGGGCAGCGGCACCGGGGGCGGCACCGGCGGCCGCTCCGCGCCGCTTCCGGGTGCGGCGGCCGCGGCGTCACGTGGGGGCGCGACCTCGCGGCGTCACCGCGAAGGGACGGAAGTGCCGGACAGCGGCGGGGGGGGAGGTGGGGGTAGAGGGGACCGGGCCCCCCGCTGGCATCACGGGGCCGCGCCGGTACCGGTGGCGGGACTGATGGGACCGGCGGAGACCCCCTCCCCGCGCCGCTGGGGGCGCGGCGACCGCGCGTGTAGCGGCCCCTTTAAGGCGGCGCCGGGCCGCGCTGACGGGCGTGCTCCCCGCCCAATGGCGTCACGCGGTGGGCGGTGACGGGCCAATGGGAGAGGAGGGGCGGGGCCCGGCGGACGCGGGTTCGCGGGCCAGGTGAGAGCGGGCGGGGGGCGCGCGCGGCGGTCACGTGGGGGGGGGGGGCGGGCGGGGGGCGCGGGAGTCCCGGGACGGGGACCGGGGACCGGGGCCGCGACCCCCCTGCCCCGATCCCGCCGGGCCCACCAAACCCACCGGGCCCGTCCCTCCCACCCCCGGGCCCGATCCCTTCCCCGGCGCGCCGCGCACTCCTCTGCCCCCCTTGGCGCATCCCCTGCTCCCGGTGGGTCCCGGCGCTCCGCGTGTCCCCCCGGTAAGACCGAGGTCCCACCGACCCCCGTCCCCTCTCCCCGCTCCAGCTTGCTCCGCCGCGATGGCGTCCAGCGGGGAGGAACCGGGGAGCGGCTGCCCGGGCCGGGTGGGCACCGGCACCGAGCCGGCACCGGCGGCCGAGGCGGCTCCGCTGGACACGGCGGAGGATTTCGAGGTGCTGGAAGAGGAGGAGGAGGAGGAGGAGGAGGAGGAGGAGGATGACCTGAGCGAGCTGCCCCCGCTGGAGGACGTGGCCCGGCCGCCGGCGCCGCCGCGGGAGGATGCGCAGCCCCCCGAGCGGGGCGGGGGGGACGCGCCCGGGGAACCCCAGGAGTGGCTCGATGTTTTGGGTGAGAGCCCCGGGGGCGGGAGGGCGCTTGGTTTTGAGGCTTCAGGGGTTTCCCTGGTGCTCCCGGTGCCGTGAAGGCCGGCCAGGAGGAGCCAGGGCGGGGTGGGGGGGAGATCGGGCTTTTCCCTCCCCACCGTGTCCTTCTCCGTGCCCAGGGAGCGGCTTGCTCAAGAAGAAGACGCTGGTGCCGGGCCAGGGGGTGGACACCCGTCCCCGAAAGGGCCAGGACGTGACAATCCGCCTGAAGGCCACGCTGGAGGATGGCACCGTGGTGGAGGAGGACCCTGCCCTCACCTTCACGCTGGGGGACTGCGATGTCCTGCAGGTCAGGGCTGGGAGGGAGCTCGTCTGGTTTTATCAGTGCTGTGTTTGCACCCTGTGGGGCAGGACCTCACCTCAGGGGGTCAGTGATGTCCTGTTTTGCAGGCCAAAGTGGCCCCTCTGCCCTTGCTTCGTGCTCCTCTCCCTGATGTTGGCCAAGTTAGTGGGGCTTGGAGCAACCTGGTCTAGTGGAAGGTGGATGGGCTTTAAGGTCCCTTCCAACCCAAACCATTCCATGATTCCATGTTGTGTTCCCTGCAGGCTCTGGACCTGTGTGTGCAGCTCCTGGAAATGGGGGAGACAGCTTTGATTGTGTCGGATGCCAAGTATTGCTATGGCACTCAGGGCAGGTGAGCAGGGAGGGCACGGGGTGGGGCAGGGTGGTCCCAAACAGGCCTGTGGGGGCTGCCCCTGCTCTCCTGGTGACAGCCCAGCTGGCAAACCTCAGCTTCCACGGGCAGGGACACCCAGCTCACTTGCCATGAAGAAAGATCTTCATCATTCCCTACCCCTGGGAAGCTGCCTTGGCACTGATTTCTGAGCCACGGCGCTAAATCCGCGTGGCCCAGCGTCTGGTGGGGCTGACAGAGGCGACAGTGGTCCCGTGGCTTTGTGCCTGTCTCCATGCAGGAGCCCTGACATCCCACCCAACGCATCCCTCACGCTGGAGGTGGAGCTGCTGGCGGCTCGGGACGCCCCAGACCTGGAGCTGCTCAGCGGGAAGGAGAAGGTCGAGCTGGCCAACCGCAAACGGGAGCGGGGCAACTACTTCTACCAGCAGGCAGATTATGTGCTGGCCATCAACTCCTATGACATCGCCCTCAGGATCATCGGCTCCAACTCCAAAGGTATCTATTTCCCCCCCAGCTCGGGCCCCCCGGGCTCCTGTCCTGCCCTAACCTGGCTCCGGGGTCTTGGCAGTGGATTTCAGCCCGGATGAGGAGGCCGAGCTGCTGGACGTGAAGGTGAAATGTCTCAACAACCTGGCGGCCTCGCAGCTGAAACTGGACCATTACAAGGCGGCTCTCAAGTCCTGTAACCTCGTGCTGGAGCACCAGCCAGAGAACATCAAGGCTCTCTTCAGAAAGGGAAAGGTGAGGCTGGGGTCCCTTGTCCGTGGCAGGACAGGGGACCGAGGGACAGATCTCAGTAAGGGGACAGAGGAACAGATTTCAACCAGGGGACAAAGGGACAGGTCTCTACCAGGGGACAGATCTCAGGCAGGGGACAGAGGGACAGACCTCAGGCAGGGGATCAAGGGACAGATCTCAGCCAGGGGGCAGAGGGACAGCCTTCAGTCATCCTGCTCAACCCTTGTCTTGCTCTCCAGGTCCTGGCTCAGCAGGGTGAATACAGGGAGGCCATTCCCATCTTGAAGGCGGCGTTGAAGCTGGAGCCTTCAAACAAGGTAGGCTGCAGGTGTGTGCTGCCCATAATCCCACTGAGCTGGGGGTCTGTGGGGTGCTCCTCTCTTGTCCGTGTCCCTACAAACCTCAGTGTCCCCCGTGGAAGGCTGAAGCCCCCCGATAGCTGTTCCCAGCTCCATGAAGGAAGGCTGGGAATAGCCCCAGAGTCTGGGGGATGACGCCCCATGAGGTGCAACATCCGAGCGTGGCTGGGCTGGCGGGTCCTTTATCTCCATGTTGCAAGATTCCCTCATTGACCTTTGCTCCTGGCACTGGCAGGGCTCCCTGCCAACCCATCCCTGCTCCAGCTATCCGCTGTGGATGGTCCTGGCTGCTCCAGCTTTCCCGGGTGGCTCTGGCAGCTCGTGCCGCCGCTGCGGGAAGTGGGGCAGAGCTGAGTCCCCACAAACTCGCTCAGCAGCCCTGGGTGTGATTCACTGGGTGGTGGGAGCAGCCAGACCTCGGTCCAGCGCCCGGGCAGGGCGAGCTCTGGGTCAGGAATTTCCTGTCGGTTAATGATCAGCTGCAGGACTGGAGCCTTGGGAGGAATCAAAAAAACAGTGCCAGGAAGTGGCTCCCAGCAGGAGCGAGCCTGGGGAGAGACAGGGAGGTGCTGCCTGGGGGGCTTGGCTCTCCAGGTGGGCTTGGGTCCGTTGTTGTGTCCACCCCTTTTCTGGGAATCTCACCAGACCATCAGGATTTGTGTCGTGATCCAGTGCCCGAAGGTGAGGGGTTGGATGGGGTGTGATCCCACCCACGGGGGTGATCTGAGAGCACCCACAGAAGGGCGAGCAGGATCCCAAACCCTTCACTCCCCAGCAAGGCCGGGGTGGAGAGGGAGCAGCACAGGGAGCCGTTCCCTGTACGTCTCCAGCACGTCACCGGGCAGGGCAGCTGCTCACCAGCCTGTTCCGATGGAGCTTTTAATTGGAGAGGGCTGGAAAATCCAAATGCCCGGCAGTGACGTTACCGGTGAAACCACAAGGACAGCAAATTACTGGGCTCTCCGGCGGCTGCTCCGGGGAAGTGGTGGGGCCTCTCCGGTCGCAGCCCTGGTGACTCACAGGCCACGGCTACCGGTGCTGAAAACACTCCAGAAATGCCGGGCTCCACCTGCCTCCCGTGAGGAAACAGGTTCTCTGAGGCTGTCACACCTTCCAGGTGTCACCGGCATCCCTTCTCCCCGCCCCTTGGAAAATGCAGGCTCTGGGGAGCAGGGTGGGATGCTGATGTTTGTCCTGCTGTGATGTGCCAGCCCCGGGGAGTTCCGAGCGGGAGCTTCCCGTCCTCCAGACATCCGAATTCTCGTGTTGGAGGCAGCATTTCCCGGCGTGGCACGGCCTGGGGAACCCCCAGCAGAGGGCACAGCACGGCTGTGCCACCGCGACGTCCTTCCTGCCACCCTGCCGTGCTCGGCTCCCCGGCACTTCCTGTGGCTTTTTTGGGAGCCCCACACAGCACTCGGAGCCTTCTCCTGCCCCAGCTGGGCAGGTACAGACTGGCCCTGGGTCTTGCTGCAATCCCACTTCAGACCAGGCTGAGTTTAAGCCCACTTTCCCAGCCTGCTTCCAGACACAAGTGGGAGAGCTTGGGCACGTCTGTCCTCAAGGCAGACACTTTCCTGTCTCGATTAAAGGATAAAAATTCATTCCTTTGTGTCTGGGATCAGCCCTGGGCTCTGCTCCCCACTGCCAGGGAACAGAGTGGCCAAAAAGGACAGAGGGGCACTCGGACCCACAGGGTGGCCCACGCCAGCCTGGTTGTCCCTTGGCACTGGGCAGTGGGGCAGGATGAGGCCATCACCCCCTCAGCTGCTTCTGAGCTCTTCCACCAAGTCCCTGCACATCCCAGGGGTGGTGGGAGCTGCTGTTTGGTGACACCACCGGCAGGGATGGTGCAGGGCTGGTAACACCTCGCTCTCCTCCCCAGACCATCCACGCCGAGCTCTCCAAGCTGGTGAAGAAACATGCGGACCAGAGGAACGTGGAGACCGAGATGTACAGGAAGATGCTCGGGAATCCCAGCGCCTCCGGCACCCCCAGGAAGTGCAAAGACAAGCTGCCCTGGGTAAGGGCTGGCGCTGGGATCCCGGGGGGGGGATTGGGGATCCACAGGGGACGTGTCATTGTCCCCCAGGCCCCGGGGTGGGGGGTGACACAGCGCTGCTCCCGGGCTGCGGGTGTGACCCACGTGGGTGGGCCGTGCCCGGGCAGCGATCCCGCTGGGAACGGGGGGCCGTGCTCCGGGAGCCGTGCCAGGAAAACGCTGATAACAGGCTGTGCTGGCTCCGTCCGCCGGATCCCGGCGGTGCCAGCTGGAGGGGTCCGGACTTTGCTCCCAGCTGCTGCTCTCGGCAGCCTGAGCTGTCAGCTGGGCAGCCGGCGGCACACGCTGTCCCCGCGGACGCTCCGGCCACGTGCTGCCGGCGCAGCGCTTGCCTTTTTGGGATGGCCCCAGCGTCTGGGATGCCGGGAGCCAGGGAGAGGCAAGGGTGGCACATCCCCCTCACCTCCCTGGCTCCCTCCTCCGCAGTCCATCCCCTGGAAGTGGCTCTTCGGGGCGACGGCCATCGCGCTGGGCGGCGTGGCCTTGTCCGTGGTCATCGCGGCGAGGAACTGAGGCTGGCGCCGGGGCGGCCCCTGGGCACGGGACCAGCACCGGGCCCCTGCCTCTCTCTCTCTCTGCGCCGAGGGGCTCCCCCACCCCTTCCCGTGGACTGGCAGCTGCAGGAACACGGATGCTTTCTCTGCTGGAGGTGCCGGGTCTCCCTCCCGACATTCCCCGTATCCCTCCCGGCGCGGGCGGGCGCAGCTGCGGGGATGGAGCCGCGGGCAGAGCGGGGACCCCCAGGCACCCTCCCGGCAATCAGGGGCTCAGCCCCCGGCCCCGAGCGTGTCGGGGGGAGCGGGAGCTCCCACACAGCGGTACATTGTGGCCATCCCCATCCCGGGGGGTCCTGTCCCCTCTCAGCTGGGGGAGGCACGTGGAAGGAAGCTGGGCCCAACTGTGGGAAGGGAAGGGAAGGGAAGCCATGTGGATGTGCCCAAGGGTAGGTGCAGCGACATTCCCTGTGTCCTGAGGGACTCAGCCCTCCCGGAGGCTCCCGCTCCCCTCCCCGGCACATCCCCAGAGCGTGCAATGTCCAAAGGAAGCCAAAGAAACCTGTGGCGGGAGGGATGGCAGGAGGGGATCGTCGGAGACCCCCTGTCCGGGCTGTCTCCTGTGGGTCCAAGCTTTTGGGGGTCCCTCCCTGCCCTGCCGCTGCCTCAGCTCTGCTCGCAGGGGGGGTTTGTAGCACTGTCCTCCCACCCCAAACTGACTGTGAACTTCCCAAATAAAGGACAATTCCTTCACGTCCAGGCCTTTTTATTGTCACTCAGACATTCATCTTCGCTGTCCCCCCTCTTGCCACACGCGCTCGTGGCTGCAGTGGGGGCCAGGAGTGGCTCTCTTTCATTGGGGGGCAAATTTTTATGGCCCCCACACAGCTGTAAGGCAGGAGGGAGCAGCTCCCATATCTGGGGATGCCTGGCCCTGGAGAGGCCTGGAGAGCACAGAGCTCTGCCTGGGGGGGGGGGACCCGGGGGACCACGGGCCCCGCTTGGGGGGGGGGCCCGGGGAGCCCCGGGCGGGGCCCGGGGGGGGGGGGGGGGGGGGGGGGGGGGGGGGGTTCATACCCGGGGATCTCATGCCGGGGGTTCCCCCCTGCTGCCGCCGCCCCCTCCCCGCGCTCCCCCAGCGCGCCAGACCACCCTCCCCAGCATGCCCCGCTCCCCGTTCATTTGCATATCCCCGCCTCCCCCGCCTCCGCGCCGCCCAATCCGGCGCGGCGCCCTCCTCCCCTCAGCCAATGGGCGCGCGCGCTGCCCGCCGCCTCGCCCCAGCAACAGGCGCCCCGGGAAGGGGGCGTGGCCGGCGGCGCGCAGGGGCACCTCATGAATAATTCATAAGGGGGGGCGTGGCCGGCGGCGGGCGGCCCCGGCGGCCCAGGCGCGGAGGGGGAGACGGTCCCAAGATGGCGGCGCTGCAGGCGGAGCGCGGGTACGGGCTGTCCTGCGGCCGCCTCGGCCGCGGCACCCGCGTCTCCGTCTTCCACGTCAAGCTCACGGAGAGCGCCCTGCGCGCCTTCGAGAGCTACCAGGCTTGTAAGGTAAGGAGGGTGGCCCGCGGGGCGGGCGGCACGGCCCCCGCGGAGGGGAGGGAGGGAGGGAGGGAGGGAAGGAGGCAGAGGGCGGGCGGTCGCCACGAGGCCCCCGGAGGGAGGGGAGCCCCCCGCGGGGGTGAGAGGGGAGGTGGGTCGGTGGTCGGGGGGGGCTCCGCGGTGAGACACCGAGGGGGTGCGGGAGCTCCTGCCCCAACCCCCCCCTCTGTGAGTGAGCGGGGAAGGCGGGAGGGGGGGGTGAGGGGCGATCCCGATGCCGGGGGGTTGAGGGAGACCGAGGGGGCTCGGAACGCCCCCCGGTGCCGTCGGTGTGTGTGTGTGTGTGTGTGTCCCCCTCCACTGGCGTTTAAGGGGTCCCTGTGGGCCCCCCGGTGGGTAACCGGGGAGGGGTCGTGATCCTCCGGTAGGTGCCTGAGGGGCACCGGGAGGGGTCGGGGGGTGTGTGTCGTACCCCCCCCACACCTCCCGGTAGCTCCTGGGGAGACCCCAGTGTGCCCCCCCCCGATGGGTAAAGGGGGTACCCCAATGTCCCCCCCCGGTGGGTAAAGGGGGGACCCCAATGTGCCCCCTCGGTGGGTAAAGGGGGGCTCTCAATGTGCCCCTCGGTGGGTAAAGAGGGTCCCCAGTTTGTCCCCCCAGTGGGTAAAGGAAGGACCCCCAATGTGCCCCCCCCGGTGGGTGAAGGGGGGACCCCAATGTGCCCCCCCCAGTGGGTGAAGGGGACCCCAATGTGTCCCCCCGGTGGGTGAAGGGGGGACCCCAATGTGCCCCCCCCCCGGTGGGTGAAGGGGACCCACGCCCCGCGGTCTCGGTGCGGGGGTGGGCGCTCGGTGTCCCCCCCCCGGGAGGTGACGGGAACTGCCGTCAGTGCCCGGGAGTGTCTGGGGAGGGGGGTGGAGGGACGTCGATGCCCCCTCCGCCCCTCTCCCCGTTCCCCCGGTAAACGTGACGTGGGTTTCCAGGACCGGGGAGGGGGGAAAAAAGGGGGGGGTCCACCCCCGGTGCTGCCATCCCGGACTGGGTGGGGGGTCCCCCCCCTTCGCTGCCCCTTTCCCGGTTGTACCCCCCTCCCCATAGCCCGGTACTTCCCTCCCCGGGAAGGGGGGGGGAGGCACGTTCAGGCCGGGGCTGTATTTTGAAATTTCCAGATTGTCTTTTCCGAGCGATTTCCTTGAAATGCATCCAGAGAGCTTATTAGTCATGTAAATAAAGAACGATGGCAGTGCTCGGCGGCAGCGGCAGGCGTTGGGATGGACCGGAGAGGGGTTCAAAACTGTCGTTTTCGGTGTCATTTTATTTTATTTTATTTTATTTTTTCCTTTCTGCCTCTGATCCTGCGACGAGCATTTGTGTCTCCTCACCTTGCTGGGGGAAGCTGGGAGCCTAAACCCGTTTGTCATTAGGAGCGTCCTGCCTGCCAGCTTCTGTAGGATAAACCATATGTTGTCACAACACTATTTTTAATTTAGGGTGTTGGTTACATCACATCACTGAATTGGGCAATCTCTGTATGAGGACGAAGGTAATGACTGTACCAGGGTTTATCAACTTATATTTTAATGAGTGTTTATCAGCATTATGAGAAGTCAGTAGCAATAAGTGACTTGGGTAGACTGAATTAATAGCTTTTTTTTTTGGTCTGAAAATGAAACAAATAATCCATATAAGTCTTTCCTATATATTAGGAAAGCCTTTTTTTTGCGGGGGGGAGGAGGGAGGGAGAGTAGGAAGGCTACAGGCAGCTGCATTAAATATTTTGGGAAGCTATTCCGAGTCCGTGTCACACATGAATAGTGGTGTTTATTTTCTAAATGAAGCCTGGGCTCTGGATTGTTTGGTGGCCAACGGCCACTAATGAACTTTGCTTCCTTCACCGCCACCCAAAAGAGAAATAGTCAGAGGCTCCTGGTGATTAACTGGGCAGGAAGGGATAAGGGCAGAAGAGCTGCTTGTTTGTGTAGTGAATAACGCAACAATTAGTGGGCTATTAAACACATATGCTCCTTCTGCATGGGTTCTATAAACAGTTTCTCCAGCTTGGGGAAAACGTCTGGGCTTCCTCGGAAGCGCTCGGCCACGGCCACGCCGGGAACCGCCTCCAACACACCTTTTGCAGTGTGTGTGTTTGTCCAGTCCAGCTCCGCTTTTAATTTTGGGCTGCAGCAGCTTAAATGGAAAAAATTTGCTCAGGCTCCTTCTGCTCGGTTTGGTTTGAAATGTGGTGGAACTGACGGCGGCGTTGTGTAATATGGATAATGGCCTGGAATCCAATCCTGCTGTTTGTGTTACCTGGAGTCCAACATGTGCAGTCTGACCTGTTTTGGGCACCGGGGGAGCACGTCCGTGCGATTCCTGCGACAAGGCTCTGTCCCTCTGCCAGGACGGGCAGGGAAACGTCTTCGGTTCCTTGCTTGAGTTTGTTCTGGGTCTAATAATAATGTATTGGGATTACATAATCCAAAAATGATCACCCAGCCGGGCGAGCTGCCATTTGTTTGGAGTGTCCCTTGTGCCAGAGCAGTTGCAGGCTTGGTGTGGAGCTGCACCATGTGTTCATCAGGGCTGTGGAGAAGCAGATATTTGTCTTCTTGGGTCTCTGCTGGAATTCTCTGTGTCCCGGGGAAGAAAATGGTCGTGATTCCATGTGTTGGATGGGGCTTGGAGCAACCTGGTCTAGCGGAAGGTGTCCCTGCCCGTGGAAGGGGGTGGAATGAGCTGAGCTTTGAGGTCCCTCCCAGCCCAAACCAGTCTGTGATTCTGTGCTGTTGATGCCCAGCTCTTGTGTTCCAGCCATTCCTGTGTCGTGTTCAGAGGACGTGGAGCTGCTGCTGAGGAGCTCCACAGGGCTCCGGCTTTTCCCAATCCTGGAGAGGGTTTCTTTCTTTCTCCAGTAGCTCACCTGACAGAAATAGGAGTCTTTTAAAAAAAGAGATAACACTGGCTTCACAGGGGACACCGTGAGATGTCACCTGGCTGCCCCTTGTGAAACTTGCTGTCCCTGAAACCGCTTCCCCAGGGTTGTGAAAGCGCGAGGGCCGAGCGGTGGCAAGGCTGTCCCAGGTCGGTTTGTCCACTGGTGAAATGGAGCTGGTCCGGTGTGTTCACCCTAAAACAACTCTGGGTTCTCCCAGGAGTGTAATTCTAGACCAGCCTTCAGTTTGCTGCCTTCCCTTCGGGGGTGTGGATGTGTTTAGGCCTTCCCAAAAAAGCAGGACGTGGCCAAGGCCGGGTTGGACGGGGCTTGGAGCGACCTGGGATAGTGGAAGGTGTCCCTGCTCGTGGCAGGGGGTGGAACAAGATGGGCTTTAATGTCCTTCCAACCCGAACCACTCTGGGATTAGATGATTCTGTGGCTTTTTCCCATCTGTTCTGGTTTGTCTCCAGCTTTCTTGCTGCCCATGTCGAGGTACAAGGGAACTCCTTATGCCCCTCCTTGTTTTCTTCTTTCATTCCTTCTCCTGAACCCCATCCTTGATGACAAGATATTTTATCCATCCCCACCTGATACCCTTAGATAAACCTCCATCCAGAGCACTCATCCTTTGATGTTCACACCTGTTTTTTAGCAGCATCACGAGGGGTTTCTGGGTGAGTCCCACTCTTCGTGCCTGGTTGAAAATGCCACGTGGCAGACCCCAGTGCCCCTTGGCAGTGGGTCTGTCTCTCTTGTGCTGAAGGTGCTGACAGCAGGCAAACAGCGTTAGGGCTGTTCCTGGAACCCTTACCTGGGAATTTCCCAACTTTCACGTAGTTATTTAAAACCTCTCTTTGCGGCTGGAGCTTGTGTGAGGGGTGGTCATTTGATAACGAGCGAAGTGACACAATTCTACACCTTTCCCTGTTATCTGGAGTTTATGTGTTGACCTAATGATGGAGGCCAGGCTCACCTCAGCTCCCAGCCCCGGTCCTGGCTTGCATGGTGGTTTTAGGAGGATGCAAAGTAGGTTGTAGCATCCCTTGGTCCGTGTGTGATGCAGCTGAGCAGCACCTCCTGCTCCTGTTGCTCCTCTCTGCCCCGGCTACCCCGGAGTGTTTTGAACTGAAGCCATTGGTTGATTCACTGGTGAACTTTGGCAGATGCACAAATATTTATTGGGGACTGAGCTGAGATAACCAAAGCACGTTGTCCCCGTGCTCAGCTAGCTGAGCTGAATTTTGGTCTGATAGATGTGGCTTCCCGAGTCACCTTCCCCGCGCTGCTCTAAAACCGACTGTGAGAGAAGCGACTCTGTGAAGATCAGGGTTAACCTGACCCCTTGCAGTGGCTGTTTATTGAAAGAACTTCTCAGCCTTGCCTTTTGGAGCAGTTGGTGGAGATGCCTTCATCTTGCTGTGTTCAAAGCACCAAACACAAAATGAAGGCTGTGCTGTCATTACAGGGTCTTTAGGGTAATGCGTATTCATGCTGACTTGGGAATTGAAAGCTGCTTGCAGGTGTCAGGAGGAGAAGAACAATCCGGCTTTCGAATCAAAATTCATTGAATTATCTTGAAAGCTTTTTGCATCATTCCTCCTCCCCTGTAACCTGTTTTTTCCTGTCCTATTAATTCACCGATGCTGTCGTCCGTCAAAATTGAGGCTCTTACGACATCGGGAACATGAGTCGGTGACACGACCAAATGAATCAGAGGAGGCTGGAGAGGAAGCTCATCGCACACGTACGTCTCCTCCTCATCAGCAAAAATGGGACAGGATCTGCAGAACGCCCTGAACTGCTCAACTCCTGCTCAGTGCTCTCCCCGCTGACCCGAACGTGGCACCTCCCGTTCGAAAGCAAAGGGGGACAAAGAGACGCCGAACGCTGCGCACGGGGAATGTTTTGGCCCGTGGCAGTTTCCTTTCAATTATTTAGGGTAGCTTTTTCTCTTTCTCTCTCTCAACCCTCCGCCGCTTGGATCTGCTCAAATTATAGATTCAGCTCTATAGTTTTCGAACGGCATTGGAAGGAATTGTCTGTAATTTACATCTGAAGTGACGTACAGTTGCTA